TAAGTACAGCTCTCTTCATTCACCCCCTACATAAAAAGATAGCGATTCTTAATGAACTATTTTTAGAGGGGTTTTATGAGGATGAACAACTATTGGTGCCAAGCTTGTTGCTAATGTTTTCCTGCAATAAATGATCGCATACAATTTATAGGGGCCACCATTTACCCACATTTCCCACATTGTGGTATCTGAGATATGACCATATTTCCCCATACTAAGTATAATCAATAACTGCAGGAATTCATTATAGTTAAACCTGGATAATATCACTATGTATACTGTACTCTGCCTGTTACCACAACATTCCTCATCAATGGCTGACTTTCATTAATAATAATGCCAAAAAAGCTGCTAGTTATTGTCAATTTGGACAATGTCATAGGCTTCTTTATGTCAACAACTTAAGTGATCTCCACCAAGTAAATCTCCTGCATAGTATCATAATTATTTAATGGTATCCCAATATCTGATTGCTGTTCCAATACTGAATGATATTCCAATATCCAATTGAATGATGTTCCTATGTGTATGTGTGTGTGTGTGTGTGTGTATGTATAGAGTGTGTGTATGTGCACGTGCATGTGCACAACAGTTAGGATAGGGTTGTCAGGTGATTTTTAGTGCCTGGAAATTAAGAGTACTGTCAGAGCCTGTGCATGGCTAGCTTTAGTGCTACTCATGAGATTTATTTTACAGCTAAATTGTATGGGGTGCATGCATTCTTCCTGCATAGATAACTTGCAGGGTATGCCTGTGAAACTCAAAAAAATAAATAAAAAATGGGCTGAGTGGATGAAGCACAGGCAAGGAAGGCTGGTGAGGCTATTTTGTACAGTGACATAGCCTCCCCTTCCTTCTGTTAAGTAGAGTATTGTTTTTAACATGGCATAATTTGTACTGTTTTTACTTTATTACTTACGTTAGTTGTTAAATAAATGTCTCCAGACATTACATAAGCTCCCAAAAATGCACATAAGGAGTAGGGCATAAACTGTCGCCTCTCCGAAATCTGAGCTGCGGTGCCCCCTTTCAAGAAAGGATCAGAATAGGCATAAGCTCCACCTGGTGTGTAACTCCCCTGATTGGCATCTCTTATGATCACAGGCTAGTGTCAGTCCCATCTGTGTGATGTTATCAGGATCTGACTAGAAGTGCTACTTATATCTAAAGTGCTTATACCTATATTGGATTTAGATCCAGAAACTTTGGAAAATGTTGCCTTATATTATATAATGGCTCAGAGTTGGGATTGGCAACTCCCCTCTTGCTCTCCCAGGTCAGCGGTTGCAACCCAGCCCCCTGCTGCAGGCTGCAGATCTCTGCCCCTCCTACCCCAGAGGGCTCAAGCTTCCCTTGTTGCAGATCAGGGACATCTCTGAAGCCAGGTAAGAGAAGGCACCAGAGAAGAGCAGGAGGGCCGTGGAAGGGAGTGCTGAGCTGGCAGGAGGCTTGGTGCAACTGATTTCTGTCTGATTCTCACCTGGTGCAACCTTCCCTGACTGGATCCAACATCTTTTCATGCTGGATCCAGCCCAAGGACTTTGCAAGTGCTTTGAATATGAAAGCACTGCATGATGGAGTAATCAGACCCCTTTTTAAGAAAGGTGACCTTGCCTTTATGATGCCTTAGGGCTGCAGTTTTTACATTTTTAACATTGCCCAAGCTACTGGAGTCATGAAAGGTAAAATCTTCATGTCCTGAGATGAATATGAGGACCATAAACTGAATGCAATCTCTGCCAGAACCAGAGTGAGCATAATGTACAGCGTTCTGGGTCCTTTCTTGTGTGAGGATGAATAGATTCTTTTGCACCTCTGCTAGTTTTATTAGCCAAGGAGACTAGGGCAAGATGATATGGACTTGAGGCAGCTGCTTAAAGTCAGTTTTCCCTATTCTTTCCCTCTCTTTCCTCACAAAACACTGACCAGTCCTTGACTTCCCACTCAGGGCCGTTCCAACTCAGTGGCATTCATTTCATCCTCACTGGACACTGCTTTAAGTGACCTCCAGCCCATCCCTGTGGAGGCCCTCCAGCTGATGCCTGTCTCTCGGACCTTGTGGGCACATCTACATGTGTGCATTTACTGCGCAGTAACCAAAATTACTGTGCAGTATGGGTGCGTGTCAACATATGCATGCCTGTACTGTGCAGTAAATATGGCAACTTATGCCAACTTGAGTGTAAATTTGATACTTGCATCATGCAGCTATCAAATTTGTGCCCAGTTAGTTACTGTGTAGTAACGCCCATCTAGACGCATTATTGCACAGTAACACTGTGTGTAGACTGACTTGGGACTAACTTCAGTTCCACGTCAGTGCACACACAGTGTTAATGCTCTTTAACCCCTGCACATATAGATGCCAGCCTAGTCCCACTTACTGTGCAGTAAATTTAAACCAGTGTAAATGCACATGTAGAAACACCCAGTCTGTGCTGTGCTGTTAGGGCCCAGGTTGAATCGTAACCATGGTAATGGTTTTACGTAGTGTTCAAAGCAGGTGCCTTCTACCTCAGGGGGATGTGTATTACTCGCCTCCTATTCTGTCCTCTGGGCTTTGCTGCTGCAGAGGTACCTATGTTTAGGGCCATCTTCAGAGCTCTAGATTGCAAGTGAAAGTAGATATCTATATGCAACTGTTTGGTACAAGTTTGGGCACCTGCCTCAGTTACTGTCATGCTGGCTGCTTGTCACTATAACCCCTTGATTATGTGTGTTGTCCAGCAATCTGGTGCTGCTCAAAGAGCAGGAGGAGCTGGGAAGGGTGAAGTGTTTGGGAAATCCTAGGATTTTTTAAACAAGTGTGTGCTGTCTCCTGAATATCTGGGAGTGTGCATCCTAGCCTGGATCTGTTTTTCCCAAATTGCTTACCTCCATCTGTGTCCTCCTCATGGAGCTGCCTGGGGCACATCCACAGGGGCCTTTGCTTGTCCTAGGGTACAGAAACTTTCATAAGAACATTATGGTGCCTATATTTGGGGGGCCTTTGGTGGTTCTCTTGTTTGTGGATCTCATGCCATAGGCTACCTGACCTGACCTTGGCATGCCTTTGTAAGCTGTCTTCCTAGACAGGCAGTTTGTGCCAAGAAAGGAGATGACATTAGTGGGAAAGGAATGGAAGAAACAGGGAGTGATCTCTCTTTGTTCCTGATGAGGGCTGCTGCATTGGCCAGAAGGCGTCTATGGGGCGTGTGTAGACGAAACGAGGGGCAAGTATGCACGACACTTTAAAGCGGGTTAAATGCTTTTGCACTGTTTTAATGGTGTTGGTGTCTGCATGTGTCAGTGGCGTATTGTGCATTAATTCCAGAAGCTGTAGCACATTTGGCCGCATAATGGACCTTAAATGACTTTGGAGTGAAGCAAACTAAAACACCTCTGAGGTGTAAAATGACTAAGTTTACTGAATTTTCGGACATTTCCAGTAAAGACTACATTTCTAAGGGAATTATGGCACTTGAGGAAACAGTAAAGGGACACATCTTTGGAATAAAGGATGCTGTAGACAATACACAATTATAGAGAAAATAGTTGTTTTATTCTATACAGCTTGTACAAGTAAGTCCTCTAAGTCTGTATATATATTCTGAGTTACACTTAGAAAACAGATATTTCCCACTTGTATAACAGTCTGTCTCTTGCTCAAAGTAAAAAGAGACTGCATTAACGTATAGTTTTCTTCCTCTGTGGAACAGTTTTGGTTAGGCATTTCAGGAAAGAAAAACAGAACTATAAAAAAAGCCACCAGGTGGCAACATGTTAAAGTATTTCTTGTACGATACTATTAACAGAAATCCAATGTGATATTTAAAAAGATAATAATCCAAATATTCTTAACCAGCTTCTTGGCAGGTTTATTCCTTTCTGGTCAATTTATTTTATATCCTGCCCTGTGTTTTTCTCTCTCTTGACCCATTGTAAATGCACAGGTTTAAAGGTTTACAGTGGTATGGCTTAGTTAGGACTCAAACTTATTTTTGGAAGAGTGTTGGATGGAAAATATGAGTAAATATCACTACTATGTGCTTGAGCATGTATGTGACAAAATGTAGGATTTTCTGATAAAGTGAAATTCATTCAAGTCCTTTGGCACTTAATGTAACATCCAAGCTGAAGAACACCTTTTGATATCCATTGTGACATATAAAGAAACTGTCTCAAAAATATTTCCTTTTCCCCTTTAAGCACAGAATTTTTCCTAAGTAAGAACTGTCTGGGACCGTGCACAAGTAGTAATAAATTCTGTACAACTGTCAGGTTAAAACCTGAACCAGACCCCAGTACTATGGGTCCGATTCATGATTTATGCTATTCATATAGGGTGTGTCTACACATGTGCTCTAATGCACAGTAGCCTATTTTAATGCACATTAAAGCATCACAAGGAACTGGTGCGCTTTCACTAATGCACATTTTTCTAGTACTTCACAATGGGAGGTACTACATTTAATGTGCAATAGCAAAAGCACATTAATGAACGTGTAGATGCACCCACGATGATTATGCTATTCTTGACATAAAATTAGAATGATGCTGTGGTGGACCTGGCTGCATATTTCATGGCCTATCAAGGACAGAAATGCTATAAGGCATCATCTCTGATCCTGACATACAAGAGCTTAAAAAAGCAAAATATCACGTGTAGAAGCTCATAAAGTAACGTGTTTCAGGGGTATATGTTGTTGCCATGTTGGCAACATATATTAGAGGAACTTATAAAAGATATTGGATTTACCCAAAGAACCTGGTCTGCCTAAAGTAATGTTTAGCATTTAAACATGATTATCTTTCTTTATGGTCTTCAGCATGACACTCATGGTAATCATGATTAGAGTAGCCTCTAGAGTTTTACATGGTGAGGAACAGGAAAAGTAACCAATAAAGATTTGGGGTTCAAACTTTTAAAAATATTTCTAAGTGAATTCCCATAAAAGAAAAAGTATGTACAAAACCTATCATAACGGTGTAATATAAAGGTAGCAGATTAAGAGCCTGAGGACAAAAAATTGTGCAAAACTAGACAGATCAGAAAAGCTATGATCTGTATTCCCCAATTTTGATCTGTAAAAATACTTTAGCTTGTATCAATTCAATTCATAGCCAGAAATAGAAACTTCATATTTTCCTGTGATTTTTTTATTTTTTTTTTAGGGCTTTGCAGTATCCAGCTTACTGTGAAAGGAAAACACAAGCGCAATGTCAGCAGAAATCACAAATTTATTAATTCTTAAATATATCAGTCATTTACCATTATGGCAAGAACTATGTACACTGTGTCTCATGGTAAACTGCAGTGTTCCAAAATGACAGAAGGTAAGTGTATAATTCAGTTGTGGTGGAGAGAACGAGTCACAATTTCCTCACATCTTGGTGTGGAAGACAAACTTGATCTACAGTAATACATCAACACCACATGCTATGGTAGAAGTATAAAAAAACACCCTACACCTAATTTGATAATTTTAAATACATTTATGCCACTTATAGCCGCTTCACAAAAAAAAGTAAAGAAATTAATAAGAGATAAAAATGAGGCCATGACTTTTTCACAGATCCCATTGGCAGGTTAATATGGCTCAACACATTTACTGTAGATGCTTATTTTAAATATATATTGTTTTAAATCAGGTAATAGTTACCAGAGAAGCTTAAATCCATTTACCGTACATCCACTAGTAACAACATCAAAGTGTTTAAGAACTGCTTTTGATTAGGAATCAACACAGAAAAGTGAAATTATACAAATTAGGAAGCTTTCCCATTTTAAAAACATCAGGCTGCTGAGTAGTACATTGTAATTGCTAAAAAGAACATTGATTGAGATATCATGCACTATACAGCGCTGCAAAAAACAGTTAGCCCCATTGGTAATAAAACAATGAAGAACCAAAAAGAAACTGGGCAATCCCTGTATTTATTCTATTAAAAATGGGGGGGAAAGAAATCTAAATACTTGCAGGAATATATGTATTTTCACAGGTATGCGAGAGAAGCGAAGACAGTCCAGGTCACAAAATAACTGTTCTAAATGGATATTGAGAGTGTTCCCTGCTTACTGTACAGGTGTTTGCAGCAGAAGGATAGAAATTAAACTGTTAGTAATGCTGCAGGAGTTGTTGCCCCTAATATTCCACATTGTGTAACAATTTAATAAGCCAAGAGCAAATGGAACTACCCCCCCCAAGAAAATCCTACTGTGGTAAAGTGTTACGGTATTAAAAATTGGTGTATTCATAATAGCCTTCCAGAGAAGAAGCAGCTATAATCAAGTAAACAAACTCTTCATACTAAGCTTTTAAGGCCTAATATTTGTAGAGTATATTAACCACACATCTGGACTACAGCATAAACAAAATAAAAAATTCTCTAAAGCCTCCTTAATAAATTTACTGTACACCCTAAAAGTGATAAAAATCTATTTTATTTTACCCTTTCTTGTAATCATCAAAAACTATTTCCCATTCACCGCTCAGTTCCCCACAAATTTTAATTTAGCTCTTCATTCATCCGATATAAATTTTCAGTTACCATAGCAAGAAAGCAAAGGTAAAGATTCAAGAAAAAAATGAAGCTGACTAGCCAGAACAGTGAAAATTAATTCAAAAGTGATCAAGCCAGCAAATGATGCAATTTTTCCAGTTTACACAGTTGAGTAATAACTAAGATGGCTTCAACTGGTATAACGCCAACATATTCCTCCTTCCACATTCACCAGTGATTTTGTCCAGCTAAATACTGCAATAAAACTGTTTTACAGTAACACAGCTGTCAGTGGAAATTACATCTTTTTCTACTATAACCAATGCAAATCCCATAGGGGGAAGGGAGAGGGAGACGGAGAGGAGCAAAAAAAAGTTCTTAAAGTGTGTGTGTGTGTGTGTGTGTGGGGGGGGGGGATATGCTTTTTGCAAACATTGTAATTTTAAAGATGTTTGTCAATACTTGGCATACATAGATAAAAATGACTAACGTTGCTGAACCTACTACTGTACTGTGAATGTTTTTTTTTTTTGCTTTGTCATTTCAATTTGCATGAAACATTTCCTTCATTGAAGAGTTAACAATGGACGGATGGAATATACAACCAAATGATGCATTGCAAAATGTGTTACATGTAGAACCTTCACAACTTCATGCTCTCAGAAACATGCATGAAGAGGAGAACAGGATGGCCCAGATGGTAACCAACCAGGTGCACTGAGCATGGAGAACGCAAGAGTGGCACCGTTGATTTTTAACTAGAAGGGAAAAAAAACAGGATTGCCATTAGGAACATCATTGATTTATGGTGTACTCTACAAATGTAGGGAGAGTACTATAAAGATTCTCCAAATCAGCTGCAGCCTGACAAGATATTGTTTGTTCAAAAAAACAACCAAGCACTTACATATATCTCTTTTCCTCTTCACATCACCTTACAAACACCAATTAACCTTCACAGCATGCCAGGAGGTTTTGTTAATAGTATCTTCACACTAGTGGAAGGGACCCTGAGACAGAAAGCTTAAGTAACTTGCCTAAGTTCACAAAGGTCCACAAACTTCAAACTGAATTTCAGTCTGAAGGGAGTCTAAGTTGATATAACTTACACCATTTTATGGCACCCTCAATCTGCATGTTACGGCAACTTGTACTGTACAGGCTAACTTGGATTCACACAGTAAGTCAATATATTGTTAATATCCCCAACTTATACATCACCTTTGAGTTGGCCCTGTGAGTTGGGTCAGGGAGTCTAACCAGGTATCATTTTTATATGCAGGTGCCAGAAAAGGAGTGTAAGGAGAAAAAAAACAGGCAGAATATTAAAGTAGTAAAATCATCATTATTATTTATCATTTTTGTTACTAGTTTTTGGGGCTATAGTCAGGCCCCAGTGGTGCTACAGACTGCATAAGTTCTTTCTTTTAGGTCTTTTTCTGGAATGTAACTTATTATAACGTAGAGTATCTTATACATCAGTAAAAAGCTGCATTCTAGCACATGGCATGATGTCTGAATTTGTTTCAGATTCAGTAAGCCTCCTGACTACTTGTCCTGATATTCCGTGTGCGTCCTTGAGTGCATGTGTGCATCTGTATGCATCCTATTGCTATGTTTAGCAGTTCTACAAGGTAATAGAGCAAATTCTTAATACTGAACATATAGCAAATGAAAATGATGTCTCCTTCCATCAAATATATCTGGCTCACACAGACAGAAGCTGTGAAACAGATGGATGCAGAAGCATTTTTGGTCAGTTTTCTGAATCATAGCAAAAATCTAGAATATATAACTCTAAATAAAAAATAAATTGTAAGTTGTGGCCATTTTCTTTTTTTCAGACAAAAAAAAACTA